CTTAAAATATCTCTCCTGGATCTAATTTTCCAGGCCAGTTGTTTTTCCAATGAGGAATTTTACATTTTCTTCTATTTTTTCATCCTTTTGATTTTGTTTAATTGATTCTTGATGTCTCATAGAGTCATTAGCTTCCACTTGCTCTAATTTTTCTAATTAGTTCTAATTTTTCTAGTTCTAATTAGTTCTAGTTCTAATTTTTAAGGAATTGTTTTCTTCAGTGAGCTTTTGTACCTCCTTTTCCATTCGGCCAATTCTGCTTTTTAAGGAGTTGTTTTCTTTTTCCAAGCTGTTGACTCTTCTTTCATGATTCTCTTGCATCATTTTCATTTCTTTTCCCAATTTTTCTTCCACCTCTCTCATTTGATTTTAAAAATGCTTTTCGAGCTCGTCCAAGAGGACCTTTTGGGCTTGAGACCAATTCATATTCCTCTTTGAGGCTTTGCATGTAGACATTTTGACATTGTTGTCCTCTTCCGAATTTGTGTTTTGATCTTCCCTGTTGCCATAGTGGCTTTCTGTGGTCAGGGCTTTGTTGTTGTTGCTGTTGTTTTCTGCTCATTTTCCAGCCTAATCTGTGACTTTTAAAGTTGAGCTCTGCTCTGGGGCATAGAGGGCACTGTCTCAAACTTCTTGCACTGGGGCCTCAGAACTGGCGTCTTGCCCACTGGGCTGGGGGGCCCCCCAATCTAGTCACGCCTCTTGTGCTAGGGTTCTGGGGCTGGCAGTTTGCCTGCTGTGCTGGAGCTATAGGCCTCATAGCTGGCTTGCTGCGTCGCAGGCCTACTGAGTCTGGACTGTGGGGCCTCGGTTGCGGATCTGTGCTGTGGCTAAGAGTCTCCTGCTGGCTTGTTCAGATACCGCCTGTGTTGGGCGGCACTCCCCTTTTACCCAAGTGAGACAGACCTTTCCTACAGTCCTTCTAGGTTACCTTGGGCTGTAAAATGTTCTGTCTCATCCTTTTGTTTTGCTAGGCAATGGGGTTAAGTGACTTGCCCAGGTTCACACGCTAATAAGTATCAAGTATCTGAGGCCGGATTTGAACTCAGGTCCTCCTGGCTCCAGGGCCAGTGCTCTATCTTTCTGCCATTGAAGTCAATCCTAATTTTGCCAAACATCCAGCTGAAGAAGAGGTTTTGAATGCCATTGGGCTCCTCTCCTGTGGCAAAGCCCCCGGTGCTGACTCCGTTCCAGCTGAGAGTCACAAGGTGGAGGTCCACTGCTCATAAAAATGCTGACTGAAACTTCCAGGTTATATGGCAAGAGAAGGTGATCTCCCAGGAGTTCAAGGATGCCCCCATTGTCCATCCCTATAAAGGTAAAGGAAATATAGATGGTCCTGTGACAATCACAAGGGCTGGGGGTGGGAGGTCTTTCTCTTAGCCATTGTTGGCAAGATTCTTGCCAGAGTCCTCCTTAGTAGGCTAATCCTTCACCCAGAAGATGGTCATCTACCCTAAAGCCAGCGTGACTTCAGAAAGGGTTGAGGAACAGCTGACATGGTGTTTGTTACCTGACATCTCTAGAAGAAATGCAAGAGCAGAACAGAGGTCTGTACACGACATTTGTTGATCTGACCAAGGTCTTTGATGCCGTCAGTCATGAGGGCTTGTAGGAAATTATGGCAACCTTTGGTTTCCCAGAGAAGTTCATCAGTATTGTACATCAGTTCCATGATGGCATACTTTCCTGGGCTCGGGATAATGGACGATGCTCTCATGCTTTCCCAGTCACGATGGAGTGAAATGAGGCTGTGGGCTTGGTCCCGTGCTTTTTAGCATGATGTTTTCAGTGATGTTGTCAGAAGCCTTCAAGGAGAATGAAAATGGCATCAAGGTCAGCTAAGCACAGACGGTAAACTATTTAACTTGAAAAGGCTACAAGCCAGGATTAAAATGGATAGAGAGTAGGTGCGTGATTTTTTGTTAGCAGGTGACTGTGCATTCAGTGTAGCCTCTGAGGCCGAGATGCAACAGAGTATGGATCAATTCTCTGCCACTTGTGTTAATTTTGTCCTGACAATTAACACCAAGAAAACACAGGTTCTCCACCAGCCAGCACTACACCATTGGCCACAGCAAATGGAGAAATATTGAATGTTGTGGATAAGTTCCCTTACATTGGCAGTTTACTTTCCAGGGATGTACATGTTGATGATGAGATTGATGTATGCATTACTAGAGCCAGCTCGGTGTTTGGAAGGCTCTGAAGGAAAGCGTGGGAGAGAAGAGGTATTAGACTGCCTACCAAACTGGAGATCTACAGAGCCATTGTGCTGACCTCATTGCTGTATGCCTGTGAAACCTGGATGGTCTACCAATGCCATGCCAGGAAAGTGAATCACTTCCATTTGAATTGTCTTAGGAAAATTCTGAAGATCACCTGGCAGAATAAGGTATGGACACTGAGGTCCTTTCTCTAGCTGAACTGCCACGCCTTCAAACTCCACTGCAGACAGTGCAACTCTGATGGACTGTCCATGTTGTTCAAATGTCAAAAATCTGTTTGCATAAAAAACTATTTTATGTAGAACTCATTGCAAGGCAAGTGCTCACACAGACATCAGAAGTGATACAAGGACACTCTCAAGGTCTCTCTGAAAAACTTTGGAATCAATCGCATGACATGGAAGACGCTGGCACAGGACCATCCATCATGTCATGCCCACATCAAAGAAAGCGCTGTGCTCTCTGAGCAAAGCAGAATTGCTGTAGCTCAAAAAAAAAAAAAAAAAAAAAGGTGAGATGTGCAAATTTAGAGTCGTCTCCACTCTAAATGTTCCTATGGACTCTTTGTGCCTGACCAGTGATAGAGCTTTCGGGGCTCATATTAATCTGATCAGCCACAGTCAGACACACTGTACCTTGACTCCAACACAGTGATGCCATTTTGGTCCTTCTCGAGCTTGAAGGACAACAGTCAACAGCCTGGGCAAGTTATTTAACTTCTCTGAGACTCAATTTATGCATCTGCAAAATGGGGATCCATAATAACTGTAAATTAAAAGTCAGAAGTTCATAGGAAACAAAACCAGTGATAAAATCTCTGGCCTTAGGTGTCTATGTACAAATGCATAAAACGTGGCTAAAAAATCAAAATGAACTAGGAATCTTAACGTAAGGGGGAATGTTGGTAAAACCTGTGATTAGAATTTGGCTCTGGAAAGGCACAACCGATTTAAAACGTACGCATGCACACTTGTAACAGGACAACTAAAAAGCAGGGGACGGGGTGTAACACTGTGAATTAAGAGGATATACTCAGAAGCAGAGGGATAAATGAGTTCAGGAATCAGGTTGCAAACCTGGCTGAAGCATGCTCCAGCAGAGATGGAGGGCTTCAATTAGGTGGGAACCTGGCGGGGGGAGCTCTCTGCTAAAAGCAGAGGAGAGAATTTTTTAATTAGTCCCAATGAACATTTTATTCTTCAAAAGGTAGAGGAACCCGTGCGAAGCAAACTCTGCATCTGATTTTCACCTACAAGGAGGAAATAGTTGCTGGAGTGGAAACGAAGTGATCCCTCTACGAGTCTGTGATGAAACAACAAAGGACCTCTGGGAAGCACTGGACATTTTATTTTCCAAATTCCGAACTTAAATACCAAATAAAATGAAGAATTCCACGTGTGTTGTGGGGCAGCAGAGAATCTCTTACGCAAAGCTTGTTTTCCTTTTTAAGAGTACCATCAGTTGGAATGCAACTTTGGAAGCTTTTCTGCTCGTCTGGAACGTTCGCTGTGTTCTTTAAGATTAAGATTTGTTTTATTTCCAGGCCCCCTTCCTCTCCCTTTCACCTGTCCCCCTATTGAGAGAGAAAGAATGCGCGCTCATCTGCATTCCGAGCTCGCCTTCCTCTCGGTAAGGGGCCACCCTCGCTTTTTGAAAGAGCACAATTCAAAAGGCTGGAGGAAGGGATGGCAAGCCTCCAGAGGCTGAGCTCCGCAGAGAAAACCAGCCCAAGAAGCATGGGAAGGCCCGCAGAAAAGCCATTCTCGGAGGAGGAGAGAGCAAGGCGCCTGCAGACGCACGTGGCTGCGCGCTTTGCCCCAAGGGCCCTCACGCAGCGTTTCCGTAGCGCTTTAAAGCTTGCAAAGCGCTTGGCCTGCGGTCGCCCGTCTGAGACGCTGGACGTTGGAAGAGGGCCCGGGCCAGGGATTTGGTGGGACGGGGGGCCATCGGGTGGGGCGCAGCACCCCCAAGCCCGCAGCTTCGGTTTTGCGGTTTCCTGGGGCAGGGAGGGGTGACCAGGGCTGGCCTCACCCAGCTGGGATTCGGTAGGCCTTGAACCCAAGCCCAGGTCCTGTCTGTCCACCTTAAGGCGGGTAAAAGCGGGCTGACTGAGCTTAGGGGAAGTGACCCTAGGAGAGGCAGCTAAACTCTTTGCCTCCATTTCCCCGTCTGTAAGATGTGGATGATAACAGTGGCGTGGCGTTTCCCCGCCGGAGTCTCCCTCGAGACGACCTCTGGAAAGCGCTTTGCACCGGGCGGGGCGCACAGTAAGCGTCATGTAAATGGGAGCTATTTTCCGCTGTCATTCCCGCTGGAGCCAGTAGGGGCTGAGGCAAAAGTGAGCGGACGAGCTCCGGCCCGGGGCATGCGCTCTCGCTCTCCCCTGCGGCATTTCCCATGAAGCCCAGGGCGTTGTCTCTAGGCAGGCTCTGGGGCTGTCTAATGCGCAGTTTCCTCGGTTTATGTAAGCGTTTATGTAAGTGTTTTCTAAAACTCTACCGCTAGGAGGGGTTTGGCGTAGCGCACCACCTCACGCATGCTCCTTGGCAGACTGAGGGCAGACATGCGCAAAGAGGAGGCTTCACGGCCCGTCCCCGTCTTTGCACGCATTCGCGAGGGCGCGAGTGATAACGCTATAATTTGGCGACTAGCTCGAGCACTACGCATGCGCCCTGACTGATTGACGGGGCCAGAGTGAGCTGAGGAGTCGCGGTTTCCGGCTCGGTCCCGCCCTGCGCATGCGCACGGATAACCCACGGAACCGGCGGGAACTATGGCGGCTGGTGTCTCAGGTCTCGGCGGTGGCCGGCGCTTCTTCAGTGGCTTCCTGGCCGGGGCCGTCATGGGTGCCGCTGGGGCCGGGCTTGCTGCCCGGAGGCTCCTCCGCAGCCACGACGAAGACTCTGCTTCGAGGACAAGAAAGCCGGCAGGTAATCTTCCCAGCGTCCCGGGGCTCCTTCCAGGAGGCGGGTCTGAGTGTGTGCACTTGTGCGTGTGTTTGTGCACGGTGCGTGCGGGTGGGCTCACATGTGCTCGTGCACGGTGTGTGAGGGTGTGTGCACTTGTGCGTGCGTGTGTGCTCGCGTGTGCTTGTGCACAGGTGCGTGAGGGTGTGTGCACAGGTGTGTGCCGGTGTGATCGCGTGTGTTTGTGTGCATGCAAGGACGCATGCCTGTGTCCCCGGGTGTGTGTGTGCACATGGGTGAGTGCGTGTGTGCTCGGGTGCGTTGTGTGTGTACTTGTATGTGTGC